CCGGTCTCGACTGCTCTGCAAGGGAGGCGGCGGCTCTGGCCGCGGCGCACGCGGCGCGCCTTCCCCCGCCGGATCCTGGGCCCGCCCCGCCCCGCCCCGCCCCGCGCTCCCTCCCCCCCCCCCCCGGCGCCCCCCCCGGGGCTGGGCCACCCCGGCGGGGGGGGGCAGGCCTCGGTCTGCGGGGCGCCCGCGCGCGGAAGCCCCCTGCGCGCGCCCCCAGCCCCAGGCAGGTGCCAGGGCCGCGACGCGCCTCCCCGCGGCAGCACCTCGGATCCCCAAGCCGGCCCGCGCCGTGGGACGTTGTCCTGCGCGCCCCCGCGCTCCTCCGGGCCCCGGCCGCCCGTCGGGGGAATTCAGCTGAATCCCCGCAGAAAGGGTTGCTCGTGCGCCTCCGTGTCGCAGAATGCCTGCACCCCTTCCTCAGGGAGCACCCCAGAATCCCGAGCCAGCCGGGACACTCTTTAGTGCTGCTGTCACTCTGAGAGGACATTCTTAACTGCTGGAGAAGCTGCTGTAGGCTCCCACCCTGTCCGGAAATACCTGAATTCTCATCAGCTGCGGAAAAACTGAAACAATGGCACCCCTTTGTTCCTGAGTGGACCTCCCCTAAGCATCTAGTCCTGGAGAGGCAAGCGCCTGAGCAGAGTAGCTGTCAAACCAGATTTCCCAGATGGTTCCGCAATCAGACACACATTAAACAGGATCCAAACTGCAACAAGGTCTACTCAACTGACAGGTCACTAAGGCAAACGGTTTTCCCTACTCGTGTTACCGGTCTAGAACATCGTGGCACCCCTAAAGACACCAGGAGGCTCCTGGACTGAGATTATCTGGAAACGTAACGCTCAGTGACTAGCAGGGTATAAAAGTGTCTGTTCCTGAGCTGTGATTTTGCAGCCGGTGGTGAGAACCGCCGCCCGGCCGCTCGCTGTGGAAAGTAACCGCAGGGGCCCTGGGTGACCTTTCCTTAAAACCGCCGGGGTTCAAGGCGAAGGGGGCCTTCCCTGACTGAACCTGGTTCTCCCTGTTGCAGCTGCCGCAGAGGCTTTCCCGACGGTTACAACACAGGCAGCGCAGGTAGGGATGGCCCAGAAGGCCTGAGCGCCCCCAGAGGGCCCCGGGCCTCCCGTGAGTTGGTGTGGGCCACGGTTGGAGGGAGGGGTTAGCACTCCGGCCCGTTCGCTTTTCCTGATGTCAGACTCCTCTTGCCCCCAAGATGTTTCTCTTAACGAAACTCTGCCCTCTTGTAACGGGAGTCCATGAGAACTAGCCCTGCTCTGTGTGCATGCACACGCATGCGGGCTTGTGCACGGACAAACCTTTGCTCTCTGTTATGGGGCAGCCCTGCTAGCGGTTGAGGAGGCAATGACGGGCCCGCCCCACCTTTTCCCCCCCAGCCTGAAGGCACCTGCTCTCTACCCTTTCCATCTAGAGCTTGCCTTTTGGAGCCCTGGAAGCCACCGTGCACCGAGTCAAACCCGGGGCCACGCAGGCCAGTCGTCAGCTCAGAGGGGCCCAGCCGCTCTCCGGGGGCCTTACCCACCTGGGGGGGCTGCCAGGAATGAGCCCTTAGGGGGCAAAGCGTGTGGAGCTGCCTTCCTGCTCCGGGTTCCAACTCACAGACTTCCTTCTCTGAAGCTGCCTCTGCACCGGCACCAGGTGTTGCCTCCTTCCAGCTGCAGCCTAGAGGCATTTGGCAGCTGTGCTGAAACCCCACCCCCCCAGGGGCTTTCATGCTTTGGCTGCAGCATTACATGCTTAACTAGCCTAAATGAGCAATCAGGAACTTGCTAGGAGGAGGTGGGGGCTCCCCAGAGCCTCAAATCTCCTTTCCAGGATGCCTGCGAAGGGAGAGCGTTGTCAAAAGCAGCTTTTCCAACCTGAAGCCGTCCGTGTGTGCTGGACAAGGACACATCTGTGGGCACCTGGTTGGGGAGGCTGCCCGAAGGCCAGAGGGAGGGCTTGATAGAGCTCCTCCCAGCTGGGCTTTGGGCGAAGATCAGTTCAATAAAACTGCATTGCACGGGGCTGCAGAAGCGCTCGCCCATTTGGTGGCACGGAGCAGCGGCATGCCTCCCCTTCCCGCTACACCTGAGGTCATCTCGGGAAACGCTAACCATTAAACAGGGCCGAATCTACGGGAAGTTGGCAGTACAGGCAAGCTTCAAAGGGCAGGACTCGCCACTTACCTGAACATCCCGCCAGAAGAAGCAGCCTCTGGGCAGAAGGCCCCTCCCAGCCACTTTAACAGCCAAACCTCTGGCTGCAGCTGTGCTCCCCCCCCCCCACGCCACTAATGAGGAGGGCCCAGTGCAATCGGCTCATGAGCTTTCACACAGCTGGTCTGATATGCCTGGGAACAGGGCTCGTTGTCAGCCACAAGTGAGCGCCAAAGATTGGTTGAGAAATCGGGTCAATTATTGCTCAAAGAGGGCTGAGGCCCCGTTTGCAGGGGACTTTTCCCTTTGCCCTGCCCAAGTACCTGCTCCGAAGGAGCTAGAAAATGCCGTAACTGGAGACGATGGCAAAGCACCTTTGAAGCTGCTCACAGGCGCGCCAGATGTGCGGAGCTTCCCCAGCTGGGGATGGTTCGGGGGAAAGAGACCGCCAGGTCCTTCGCCCAGCTCCACCTCGTGTGCGATTACGCTGGTGCGGCACAAGTGGGCTCAGTCCCAAGGAGCCGTGCGAAGGGCCGCCATCGGAGTGGGCCCCGACCTGGACCTGCGTCCGGAGCCCAGGCTCAAGCCACTGATGCTGAGGGCGACGCGCAGGACGGGAGCACGTGCCCAGACTGCGCGGCTGCGGCCTTTGCGCGCGCACGTGGGCGGGAACTGCGCCGACTGAACACGGAGCGCTCAGTGCACATGTGTGGGATCGGCTCGACCCATTCGTGTGCCCGGGGCTCCAGCATGCTTTGCGAGGATCTGTTGGCCGCCCGAGCACGTCGGCTGCCTGCGCCGTGGGGCGGTGCGGGGCGAGCGGGGCCCCCCGTGCGTCCCACGCGTGTCAGCACCGCCGGCCACCCGCTGGCAGCCCGCTCTCGCGCATGCCGCAGCGGTACCATCAAGGCAGAGCGCGGGGCAGGAGTCTGAGGCCCCGCTTGGGGTGACTGACCACGGGGGCTCCCAGCTGTGGTGGCGGCTTAGCCTGACACGCCTCGCCACCTAACGAGCTCCCTCTGTAATGCTCCTAATTGCAGAGTCTAATGTTTGTTAAGGGTGTTGCTTGGAGCACAGAGTGGGGAAAATGAGTTCCACAGGATCACGGGCACCTTACAAGGCTGGACAGGGCAGACGCCAAAGGTCCCCATAATCAGCGCCAGCTGCAGTGGGTTGAGGGCCCTTGGGAAAGGCCCCCCTCTCTGCACCTGCCCTCCCCCCCCCATGAGGAGCTGCTCTTGTTCATCCCCTCCCCCTCCGTATCACTACCAACTGCTTGCTTCAGAGCGGGGTGGGGGAGCCAGTTATGGCATCCCCCCCCCCCGCCACCACCTTTGCCTGGGCGGAAGCAAGAGGAGGGCTGGAGCGACTTGGGGGCCTTCGTCTCGCTGAGCCCCTGCTCTGGTGTGGGCCCTGGTGGGTGCCCAGGCGCGTCCGCCCCGGAGCTGGCCCTGTCCACGGATGACCTTCCTGGATCTGCATGCGCCTGGAGCCTGGGGGAGGAGCAGACCCCTGCCTTTGGCAGGTGCATGTTTAATTTCCTCTGGAAAGAACTGTGAAAACCCTGAAACAAGCAAAGGAGGGGGGACCCAGGTGACAGTCTGAGGCAAAAAGAATGCAGCTGTCATTTCAAAGGCCATGGCATTCACCTCCATGGGTGAAATGCCATGTTTAAGTCGGGAAGATGCAAATATTGGCAGCAGCTGCAGAACTGCAGGGGGGAGTCTATGCTGGGAAGGAAAATCCAGGTGGGCCATTAGTGCGGCTTGTGCTGCAACTTTAGCAGGTTTCACCCAACGCGCGATCCAGCCACTCTGGCAGCTTCCCAGGGGGTCCTGGCAAAGCCACACTCCAAGGACCCCAACCAAACTTAGCCGTCAGGAGCACAGAGGGAAGTCCCCTTATGGGCACTAACTGGTTAATGAATGGAGAGCTGAGCCCCTCTTCCAGTGAAGGATGCGAGGAGCGGACAGAGCAACAGCTGTGGGAACTCCGGGGGAAAGGAACCGTGCCTCACCTGAATTCTCCACAATAAAGGAGCCAAACATGGAGCCAAATTATACAGAAACAGAGTGCGCCAGAAGGGGCCTCCCGGGCCATCTGGTCTGACCCCCAGCTCCGGCCGGCTCCGCTTCACTCATGACAGGCCCACCATGTGCATGTCTAGCCTATCCTTGAACACCTTCACCCCCATATATATGAGCCAAACAAGTACCCTGGATTTCAAAAAAGCCAACTTCAGCTAATTAAGGGCCGTGATCAACCAAGTCCCATGGCAGGCCACTCGAAAGAGAAAAGCAGCCCAAGAAGGGTAGAATAAACATGGAATGCTTAAGGCACAACTACAAGGAGAAGGAGTAGCAACCAGAGGAAGCTCATGTGGCTTCATAAAAGGCTGGGTGGAATCGCAAACAACCTGGAAAACAGAGATAAGATCCAGGGTGATCTAGATAGGTCAGAACACTGAGCAGAGAACAAAAGAACGATGTTAAATAAGGACAAACACTTAAGTGCCCAAGTCCTGCACTTACGGGAACAAGACCCCAACCGCTCTGCCACAAACGGGACCACGTGGCTCAGCGATACTGCAAAGGAGAAGGATCCCGGGGTTGTTGCAGATCACAAGGTGAACATGGGCCAAGAATGTGGCTCACAGGCAAACGCGATTTTGCGCTGCATTCACAGAAGCATCCCCTCCAGAGCACGTGGGGCGCTAGCGGCGTCCCCCTGACTCAGCACCGCTCAGGCCTCACCTGGAGTCCGGGGGCCTTTCTGTGCAACACAGTTTGGAAAAGATGCAGACAAGCTGGGAAAGGGCTGAGGGGCACCAAGGACGACTCGGGCTGGAGGCAAAGCCCGGTGGGGAGAGATGGTGAGAGCGAGGCTTGCGAGGCCGCGGGGAGAGATGACCGAGGGGGTATGACAGCCCCCTACACGCACCTCAGAGGCTGTCACGAAGAGGAAGGACGAGGCCTCCTCTCTCTCGCTCCGGACTGCAGGGTGTGGAATAGGGGACCCGACTCGAGAGAAGCCAGTTGCAGACTAGAGGCCAGGGAGCATGTCCTCACTGCCCGAGCAGCACGACAGTGGAGCCCAGCGCACGGGCGAGTCACCCAGAAAGCGCCTGGGCCGTCACCTGAGCGGGATGGGGCCCTGCAGCAGCGGGCCTTGTGCCAGAAGATGGGAGCCCCAGGTCGGAAGGCACTCCACTGGCTCCTGGGGAAGAGCCATGGCAAGCACATCTGTCAGTGCCCCTAACGATGCCTCTCAGAGGGAAGGTACAGGACGCAAGACCAGCCCAGCCAGCCCAGCCCCAGGGCCCATCTAGTCACCCTGGCAAGCCAGCCATGCGTAGGGTTGCTCGCGCAGGGTGCATGCGAGAAGTCCTGCCGCCCAGCTCCTCAGCACCGGGTGCGCGCAGGCATCCCGCCTCTGGTCAAGGGGGCAGCACATGGCCAGCAAGGCTGGTCGCCACTGGGCCGCCTCCCTCCCGGATCTGCCTGTTCCCCTTTGAAAGCCACCAAGAGTGGCAGCCATCGCGGCCTCCACGGTTTCGCTGTACGTGGTGTGAAGAAGGACCTGCTCTGACCTGCCTGAAACCTCCCGCCAGTCGGCTTCACGGGTGGCACCAGCTTCAAGCGTTATGGGAGATGGAGAAAAGCCTCTCGCACTCGCCTTCCTCCACACCAGGCATTGTTTGAAGCAGCCCCCCCACGGCTCCCAACTTGCTCTTTCCTGAGCTGAACAGTCCTGGCTGTCATTCCCCCTCCTCACAGGGGAGCTGCTCTGACCACCTGATCATTTGTGTTGCCTCGCTCTGTACTTTTTCCAAAAAGCACAAATAAGTCCTACTTGATGGAACGTGGCAGACGAGAAGCATGGATCAAGGCAAGCTAGAAACTATAAAGCAAGAAATAGAATAACTTAGCACTGCGGGGCTTGGTGCGAACAAACGAAAGAGGGCAAACAAAGCGTAGCAAACTGGATTCGCAGAAAAACTCACAGCAAAGCTCACCAACACGTCTGTGGTTCAGCAACAGATGCTGAACATGAAGGAACTGAGAATTTAACACAGGCGCTCAAGTGGAAAGTGGTTCCACTGCAGCAGCCACCGTGGGGTTGGCAGGGGAGCCGGGGCGACCCAGGCTCCAGCCCCCACTCAGCCATGCCTGTCGGTGGGTCGCCCTGGCCAGTCACAGGCCCTCTACCCAACCGACCCCACAGGGTCGCTGTTGTGAGGATAAATCAGGAGCTATGGAACTGCCTTGGGCTCCGCACAGGAGGGGAAAAGGTGTGATGTAAATGCTGCACCCTCATCCACCCAAGCAAGACATGCTGAGCATCACGTGTGACCTGAAGGAAAAAGTAGGAAGCGAAGCGGAATCAAACGTTGCAGGAGAATTTGGCCTACGAGTTGAGTCGGGAGCAGAGCAGGAGAAAGACCGGCACAAATACATGTTCCAGGCAGCCAGTCAGATGCCTGCGGGCTTGGGGATCACCAGGTGCCCAATATGGAATCAAACAGACCAGGTAAGGGGAAGTAAGAGGCGGAGAATCAAAACATGACCAGGACTAGACTGAGGTAGTGAGAAAGCTGACAAGGATAACTAACAGAAGTATAGTGCCAAATACGATTTCAATAGCATCCCTGAGGAATTTAAAGGGCAGGCCCCAAAAAGACTAGATTTGCATTACTGAACTCCACTGATCGTGAGACGGAAGAATTGTGGACTGAACCAGACACATTATTACAGAATAATGCAAAGAGACAATTCCTGAAGCAAAAAGAAACAGCCTAGATGGATAACGGAAGAAACATTCACGATGGCTAAGGACAGGCAAGGAGCAAAACAAAAGCTGCATGGAAGGAAACACTTTCAGTTTAAAGAAACTCCAGTCCAATTAAGAGAAAATCCCAATCCCAACAGACTTTGATTCGTGCTGCGGTTCTGCGGGGAGAAGTCCTTGCCCAGCTTGTCAGCATCGCCGACTGCCCACGTCGGGAGCAGCGAGCGAGTCCCCTCTGTGGCAACCACGGCTTTTTATAGGTCCCGTCAGTTGCGTCTGCTCTCTCCCTGGAACACAAACAAAACGGGAAAGGAGACACTCAGTATCCCCAGCGGTTGCCCTGTGGCGCCCTTCCCTGCACGGTATGTCTGGGGATTTCAAAACACTAATGGCAGCAGCAAAAGAAGCCCCATCTCCCACCCCAAACCTCTTTCGAGGCAACTGAAAGATCTTTGGCCTTGCTCGTACTTTGCTTCCTGATAAACCTCGGCTGCAGAGCAGCGGCTAACCTTTAAGCACGTTTTCTGCCACACGCCTCTTCGAAGTGTCCCCTTCCTCTCGGGATGGGGGGCTCCTCATGTCTCCACGCTGTCTCTCATACAGCCTTTCAGTACTCTTGCATCTTCTTTCTCCCACCGAGCTGCTCCTGCTGGAGCGCGTGGTTGCGATCCGGTTGCCGCCCTCCGACAGCAGCAGGCACCACACCGGCGTTCCTCTGTCTTTATTGCTAGTGCACCAAGTCTCTGAGCATACGCCAAGTGAAATGCTGAGCCCAATCTACTGTTCAGTACCCAAAGTTTCCCTTTTTAATCCCTCTGTGTGCCACCCCTGAAGGAGGGGTGCTGCCGAAGAGAGACGGCCTCTGTGCCCCCGACCGGACTTTGCGCTGACTCTGGCGCCGTGGGCTCCCTGTTGGAGGAGCGGGTCATGTCAGCATCCTCTCCTGGGGGTGTCACCTGGACACTCCGCCAGGCTGGGGTCGCTCTGAGACCGCCTCCCTCTCCACGTCCCGCCCTGGGGTAGGAATCCTCCAGCCTTCCCGGGGGCGAGTTGCCGAGGGTGCTCCCGCGTCCTGTGCGCCAGCCTTTTCCTGTGGCAGCTCCTGCCTGGCCCCAAGACCTTGGAGCTGGGCCCTTGGACAGACCGCGTGGGACTGACTGGGCTGAGCTTCCACAGGCACCTGCGCATTGCGCATGATGCATGTTCAGCAGCCTGTTCCCTCTGTGGCTGTCGCACTTCAAGCTAATCGTATTTGCATAGCATTGATTGCAATTTAAACTGAAATCCATGTGTTTAAACTTACCTGCTGCAGTTATACAGCATTTTATGATAAATAAAAGTATGGACCAAAGCAAAAAGAAGTAATATAATCCCTTTTAGAATCTGTGCTCCAGGGTTTCCCAGCGAACTTGAAATCCACGACTATATCCCATCCAGTATTCTTCTAATGTGCATTCATTCTTTTTCTCTGTTTTTCCACATCAGCTTTGATTTCTTGCTTTTTATTAATAAAGGTCAATCAAGGTTTACTAATCAAAGCAGATATACCTCCCTTTCCTGCTCACATATAGACTAAGGCCATCTTCTTTTGTAGAACTACTCCTGCAAAGGTGTTTACTTCTGCCTGTGATGAGGAGAGCTGCTCTCCCACTCATGTGAGTGTCTTCATGGCACCTGATGTGTTGGTTAATGCTTTTTGCTTTTTTTGTTCTAACTACAGACATTTTATGATCAAATAGCAAACATATATCTTTTACAAAGTCAACAGAACTATCACATGTTTGTTTTCAGTCTTTTTATACCAAGGTTTTTATTATTCTCAGTTGCAATATTTTATTAAGCACCGAGTGTTGATCCAGTTCCTCTGTTCCTTGGATCTTTAGAAAGTCTTATTTCCACAAAATCTTCCTTTCCTGTCAAAATTGAGGCCACTACAATGAAGAAAAATCCTCCCAGGGTTCTTATTTCTTTTGAAGCTCTTTGAGATGGGAACTGCAGTACAGGCCAGATGTTTTAGTTGCAAAAAAGATGCTTTGAGAACATTAAGATAGCACTGGCCTTGATTTTTCTGTACTTTGTACTCACTAAAGGAATTTTTTGTTTCTCATAAGATTGGATTTCTTGTTGCTAAAGCAAGGTCTGAGCTTAAGCCTGGAACTCACTGACATCAATAACTGATTTGCAATGGGGGCATTGCTGCAGGTTTGGAGTTTCTGGTTTTGCACAGCTGCATTAGTCGTCAGGAGAACTTGGGATGGGATCAAATGATTTTTTCCCTGATTTACTTCAACATAACCTAGTTAGTTCTTGACTGCTCTAAATAATTCACAGGTGACAGAAATAGAGTCAGAATTCTGAATGCAACTTATCAACAACTATCATGCAGAGACAAGAAGTATTATTAGAATGGCCAGTGCAAAGAAATAAAGATGAAGAATATAATTTTTCCTGATTTTTTTTTATCAGTTATTTAGAGTTCTAAGTAAGAGACATGAGAGAGTAAAAAATATAAAGTACACTTCTGCCAAGAAGGTCAGAATGTGAAGTGTAGGTAGGTTAAGATAATCATGTACAAAACAGTATGTAATGGAATCCTTTCTGCTATGTTTTTCTAGATCTAACGATCGCAAAAACCCAAACATAAAATCACTGTGCATGATGAACGTGGCCGCTGGTCTCGACTGGAGACAGGCTCACTCTCTGTTGTTAGTGCGCAGCTACAATGAAGAGTCTTTTTACATAAAATTACTTGCTGGTGTTGCTGGTCTCTCTCAGAGTCAGATAATGACCAAGAAAGAAGTCTTTTTTGTCCTCAACAAAGAGAAAAATGAAATAGGAAAAACAAGAGACCTCTTCCAGAAGATCATGAAATCAAAGGATAATTCAAACCTAGATTAGGAATGCTGAAAGACAAGTGGGCGCATACTATCTGACCAGAAGAAAATCAAGAGAACATGGAAAGAAGAACTAAACCAGAGAGGAAACAGACTCCTTCAAAAAGGAATCCTATAAGGAACCGCCTGCAATATTAGAAAGTACAGTGAAAACGGCTCTGAAAGCCCTTGGAAGGAATACATCACCCAGAGCACCGATGTTCAAGGAGCTGCAATGCAGACTGTTAGCCAACACAGAGCAAGAAGTCCCTGACATTCCAGCTGGATTCTGAAAGGGAAAAGGCACTTGAGCTCCTATCCTGACTATGTTGGCTCCTGGTTTTAGGCGGGGCAGGAAGATGGGAAGAAGCGAGGGATCTGACATTAACCCCTTCATCATGGTCAGATCACTTCCTCGTGAGGTTTAAACTCGGGGCCAGTTTTCCCCTCCATAAGGGTGCGGGCCCTATTAAACTGGTCTTAGGGATTCCTGAGAGCTCCCAGGGAATGTCTGGTTGATAGAACTGGTGCTCCTGTCGATGCCCTGGTTGCTTTGTGGAATGGGGAAATGATCTGGGCGATCAACGCAATTGCTCCCGAGTGTCCTGGGTCCAGGAGGTCATCCACTCCTCCCCGAGATGCCCAAGCGGGTGGTGTCCGGGCAACTCCAGGCTCTCTCGGAGGAAACTGACCATCTGAACCCATTTCAATCTGGCTTCAGGCCTGGCTATGGAACTGAATCTGCCTTGGTCGCCCTGTACGATGACCTGTGCAATGAGAGGGACGGGGGAGTGCGTCCCTGTTGTTCTCCTGGACCTCTCAGCGGCTTTCAGACCATAGACCGTGGTATCCTTCTGGATAGGCTGGCTGAGTTGGGGGCTGGAGGCATTGCCTTGCGCTGGTTACACTCCCGCTTGGCTGGCTGAATCCAGAAGGTGGTGCTGGGGGATTGTGGCTCTGTGCCATGGAAGCTGTGCCATGGAGTTCCACAGGTTCCATTTTGTCCCCCATGCTCTTCAACGTCTACATCAAACTGCTGGGAGGGGTCATCCGAGGCTTTGGGCTGCGGAGTGGTCAGTATGCTGATGACACCCAGCTCCACCTCACTTTCACACCCAATCCAGGTGAGGCAGTGCCTGGCTGGTGTGATGGGCTGGATGGGGGCCAATAAACTGAGCCTTAATCCAGACAAGACGGAGGTCCTGGTGGTGGGTGGTTCAGCCTTCCGGGCAAGGGACTTTAGCTCTGTTCTGGATGGGGTTGCACTCCCCTTGGAGGACAAGAGTGCAGTTTGGGAGTGCTCCTAGGCCTGGAGCTGTCCCTGGAAATCCAGGTGTGGACTGGTCTGTGGTGAGGAGCACTTTCCTTCAGCTTTGGCTGGTTCATCACTGCGCCCTTACCTGGATGAGCAGAGCCTAGCAACACTGGTAACTTCCTGGCTGGACTACTGCAGTGTGCTCTACATGGGGCTGCCCTTGGAGATGGTCTGGATACTTCAGTTGATCCAAAACAGAGCAGCCAGGATGTTAACAGGGACGGGCATAACGCCGGTCCCTTACCATCTACACTGGCTGCCAACTGAAGTCCAGGCCCAATTAAAGGTGTTGGTGATGACCAATAAAGCCCTAAACAGCTTGTGACCTGGATATCTGAAGGAGCGTCTCCTTCCCCATGTGCCTGTCCACCTCTTAAGATCTGGGAGCCCTCCATGAAGGAGATCAGGAGGGTGGCGACCTGGAGAAGGGCCTTCCCTGCAGTGGCGCCCCGCTTATGGAATACGCTCCCCAGAGAGGTTCGCCTGGTGCTGACACTTTATGCTTTTCGCCGCCAGGCCAAAACCTTTTTATTTTCCCAGTATTTTAAGGTTTAGATGGCAATTTCAATCAAGGTTTTAATAGAATAGATGCTGTGCATTACTTGGTATATTGTAAGACCATCCTGAGACTATTTTGTAGTGGACAATATACAAAAGTTCTAAATAAATAAATAAAATATGCAGCGGATTCCATGCTACTGGCAAAAAGTCGAAATTAACTGAAATAACTCGTCCACAAGTTATGTTTTTTTGGTGCCAGGTCAAAACCTTTTTATTTTCCTGTAATTTTAATGCTTTAATATTTTAACTATGTTTTATGCTCAGTTGTAGATTATTATGGATTATTTGGGTTTATATGTATTTATTGGATGCTGATTTGTAAGCCACCCAGAGACCCGCAACAAAGTTGGATGGGATAAAAATACTTAAATAAATCAATAAATGCACATGGTGGGCATCCTGAGGCTTCAGCAAGGGGTGGCATAGAAATGTTCTAATAATGATGATGATGATGATGTCATGAGCAGAACTGGCTGGAGTCGGGGGTCAGACTAGATGGCCCAGGAAGCCCCTTC